TGAACTAGTATTTTGTAAAATACAGTCAATTTTGAATTATTTTACATTATATATGGATATAGATTATTGGTATTTTGAAATAAGTTCTTAAACTTATTTTTCTTAAAATATAGAATGGTAAACAAAGAAGTAAAACAAATAATTATCTCTTCTAGTTATGACTTTTGTACTCGGTTGCTGCTTGACGTAGGTTGCTAAGCCTTTAAAAATTTTGCACGTGGAATATATGAACGGTCAGAGGGGATATGACTGAAATGTTCAAGATCGATAAGGGTATTGATAATATAGATCCATCAAAATTTTTGTGTTTAGCAGTGAAAACAATAGGACAAGGTGTCATAAATTCAAATTTTGGCAGTATAGGAATCATCTGCAGTTCAGACAGTATTATTTTTCAAACAGGGTGGTTGGCTTTTGGAATGAGCTGCCTTCAAGGATGGTGGATACAGAGAACTTAACTGAGTTCAATAAAAAAGATTGGATGAATACATGAGTAGTAGGGGGAGGTTACAGTTGGGAGCTGTAAGGGACATACTTGATGGGGTAATAATTTCCTTTTTGTCCCTTTAAAATTTTATAAATTTATGAGTCTCTTTTTGACAAGTTTGAGTGCAAAGCGATTTTTACGTTGTGATTAAAAATAGTTTTCTTCATCTCAAATATCTAAAAGTTCATTTGTGTAATCTCTAAAACCTCTTAAATTCAAACATTTGTTTTTAGTAAAACTTTATACTTTATCTGTTACTTTCTCTATTCTAACTCTATACAAGGTTGGTCAATTTGACCGACCTCTTAACCACACAAAAATGGGGGGGGGGAGCTTTTTTCTTTCTAGAGTGACTTCAAATTGTAACATGAAACTACATTCATTGATCCTAAGTAGTTTTAAACTCATAACAGTATACATCTATTTATACCTAAATTTTATTGTTTTATTGCCATTTGAACCATGTCTAACTACTATCTGCACCATTAAAAGTTGTAAATCACTTGGAGAACATGGAGCTCACGTTACGCTATTGAATTACATTACCCACAAGCTGCTCACATGCATGCCTCATGGAATATTTGTATTATATTATTATTTATTTATTTTACCTAATCTAGCTTTAACCAACCTAAAAAGATTCCTATTTTTACATTTTAGTTACTTTTATAATAATAAATAAAGAATTCACATGAAAAAAGAAATAAAGTACTTACCCAGATCTACCTTTTTTTGCTGTTGAATATCAATGACACTTAACCCTACTTTTTTTATACTAATGGTAGTAGTGCATTAAATAATTTTTATTTAATTAAATAATGCACCAAAGAACATAGAATAATAACAAGCAAAAAGCAGACAATGTCCCATAACAATCACAATTTTTCTGGCTTTCTAACTATGTGACAGGGCCCATTACAAATTCATCCAAACCAGTCAATATGTTTCCCGTGGGAACGATGCTTTTACTAAGGAGAACTTGACAATTCTCTGTTCAGAAAACAATGTAATATAATATGTCATTTGACAGATGAAAACCTTGACTTTCTATTGGTTATAAGTAATAAATAATTAAGTGTAAGAGAGAACTATTAACAAATCCTGAAAGAGAGGATGTGATAGATGAATGTGGCAAGAGGGGTCTGATGTTCTATTTGATGGCTCTGTAAACAAACAAAATTGAAGGCTATAAAAATTATGCTTTGTATGAGCAAAGACAATTTTATAGTGAGTAATTTACATTAAATCTTGTACTTACTGAAGGTGTGGTGAATAAATTAAAGAGGGATGTGTAGAGGAAAAAATGCACATTTCTCATACTAGGGGAAATCCAGAATTTTTTTTTAAATATTGCCTTAGAAAATTAAGAACTTAAAACTTATATATATACTATTAAATATGGATTATTAGCCACAAGTTTAGCCCATAATAATTGGTATAACATAAACAAAAAGTAATTTAATTAAATTTTGAATGTAAGTCACTAAATACCTCGTGACATGCGCAGTAAAGGATGCCCATAGGCACTTTTCAACGTTTTCACTATCAGCATGACATATTCACAGTCAATGTTTTCACTATTAGCAAGATATATTTACAGTCAATGTTTTCACTATTAGCAAGACATATTCACAGTCAATGTTTTCACTATTAGCAAGAAATACTCGGAATTGATTTACTGCAAGCCCCTGTGATCTGGAATTACAGTTAAAATTACTTATTTGACAACAAAAAGGGAAAGAAATGAATAAAATAATAAAGCTTAGATTTTGAAGCATGCGATCACACTCCTTATTTTAAGTTTTGGTTATGTCTCCTCAAAACAATGGATATAGTAATTGAAATTTAAGTACGAACTTCAGATTTTACATGTTCACATCATGACCTCAAAGCTGAAAATTTAACAAAGTATTTGTTTACCAAAAGTAGGTAAATAAGCACTTTAACACTTGATTCCTGAAAACATGTGACTTAGTACTTAAACTTTACTTCAGACAAGAGTTTTAAACAAGATGGCTAAAGAAAATTAATATTCTTGGTACTTATACATATTCAAAAGTATTATGTATCTTTTAGTGGGATAGTGAATACCAAGATAGATTATCTTAAGTGTCAAAGCACACACGTACTCAGCTGTTATAACTTTGTCCTAAACAGGATTTAAAAAGTTTCCATTCAAGGATTAGTATAAATTTGCTTTTATTCCTTCAATATTAGCATTAATGATTCAAAGGATTTTTTTCTGAAATTGTAGTTCTGTATTTGTAAAACTGATGTTGACTTATACTAAAGACAGTTAAATAATTTTGACAACACATTTATATGTAGTTATACAGAATTAGAATATACAATATACATTTAATAGGAATTCTCTTGACTGCTCAGAAAGGAAGAGTTAGAAAAAAAAGTCTCATTCTTGAGAACTAATACAGAAGATTCTTAAGACACAAGACCAACAACAATACAAAATTTATATTTACCATGGTAAGTTCCTCACATATGTGGGTGCACTTAGAAGTTGTTCCTTGAGTCTACTGAAGCTTGGAACAACAAATCTAAAGACTGCTTCTGACCTAGCCTCATCTGACATGCAAGAAAAAACAAAACAAACTATGAATCAGAAACAAATCAGCAGAGCACAACAGCAAAACTAAGTTAATCTAAAATATCAAGAATATACTGTTGAGTTTTTAAACATTCCCTAGTTAATGCAACCAGTCTATCAAATAAAATGCATATCACCAAACTTAATACCAATTCTTCAGTATTAATAGAAATTAATTACCTTTCTTAATTTTGAGACATATTTTCTTGTATTTATAATTCTATGATTAATCTTGTTGGATTGCAAACTCAAAGAAAAATTTTCTGTACAAATATTTACACACTTAGTATCTATAAATTTGCTCATGAAAAAAACAAACTCCAAAACTCCAATGACCCAAATCTACTTTTGAAATGTGAACTGTATTTGATACAAGTTAATATTCTGTTATAACAGAAACTCACTGTATCAACACTTTTCATGCAACAACAGCTGTTATAAAGCATTATACAAAACAAAATAATTACAGGATAGGTGGAACTTATACTTCAGTTACATCAAAACAGAAACCACTATTATAAAATAATGCCAAAGACCCCCCTCTCTCTCTCACACACACACATATACATACATACACAATTCATTTGACAATCCATTATTCAAATTAAGGTGCAAATGGCTGACCAATTGTCATATATTTTACTACTGGTCACCATACATAGTGAAATAATCATTGCCTAACACCTATTCTCTCAACTCTTAATTATAATATTTACTTTACTGTAATTGGTCCTCTAGTTTTACCACAATTTCATTTAAACAATTGCATTATGATTATTTAGTAACAGACACCCATGAAGAATTTCACAGCATCATAACAATTTTATTGCCAATAATATATTAGTTCCTCCCAACTTGTGTAGACTGAACTATGGGTGGGAAAATAACTGTATGATGATGTTTTTTGGACTTGGAAGTGATTATAAGTGGCATGGTATGTGCCATTTGTTTTCAATGTACATTTATTTCTCATATATTTGTTTTTCATGCAATATACAGTTTCTGCTAGTAAAGTGACTTCTTGTTTAAATGCATTACTTATAATCTTTAAGTTAAATGTCACTCATGCCATTCCAAATTCTGTCCAAAATATAGGCACTCTTCTTGATACATATGTTACTGTAAAAATGTGTCAACTTTACATTTTCTGATATGTTAGCACATTCATTGTAAACCAGTATGATCAATGTCACTAACTTCATAATATCATGCTTTTTGTTTTTGACAATAAGAACCTATAACAAATTACCTCTGTTGCAGCCCCTGAACCTCAAAAATGTTGATTCAATTTACATCACACTAGCCAGAGGATTTCTGTTTCTGACATTCAACTAGTTCCTGACCTATAACAAATTACCTCTGTTGCAGCCCCTGAACCACCAAAAACGTTGATTCAATTTACATCATACTAGCCAGAGGATTGCTGTTTCTGACATTCAACTGTTTCCTGACCAATAACGGATTACCTCTGTTACAGCCCATGAACCTCAAAAAATGTTGATTCAATTTACATCGTACTAGTCAGAGGATCGCTGTTTCTAACATTCAACTAGTTCCTGACCATTATTTACAGGGTCATGGAAACTCTTTTTACTATTTGATTACTTGATGCTTTTCAGTCCTCAAACATTTCCTTGTCATCACTGCCTTCCTGTTACAAAATTACATTTGATTCCTTACTGTATTGTCCCTCCCCCAAATGTATACTAGAACTACATTACAGAGTTTGCATTTTGTTTCTTTTTATCATCTATTCAGTCATAGAATTTCTGTATGTGTACTTTTGCTTTCATTATCTTGCCTTTTTTTTTTTTTCACAAAGACAGATGAATGCTAAATTCTTAGAGTTCAAACTGTTTTTAAACACCTCAGGGTTGCTATCAAAAAACATCCTCATAAGCATATACCCACCTTAGGGACATGCAACAAACTGCATTGAACTACAATATTTCACTATATTTGGAAAAATAAAGCTTGTTATCAAAAAGGTTGCTACTGGAAGTTAACATACAGCTGGTTTCTTTGATGCAAAATAATTTTTTAAGTAAATTTCATAAGTATTTAATGCTTATGTGACTTGTTTCACAAAATATGAACAAAAAGGTTGCATGTCATTCATAATTTATAACAGTTCCTTGGTTAATGATTTTGTAACTGGTTACTGCTTAAGCTAATCATAAAAGGTTCTTCAATGGGTATCTTACAAAAAAAAAGAGTGGCCCTTTTGAAGCTTATTTCTAAATATGTACACTGACAAACATATGATTCAATCACAAAGCTTATACCTTACAAATGATAACAGTCAAGAAATGACAGCTGTCATCTGCTTGTGCTATTAATGATGATCTGCCTTGTTCAGGTGTTTGAGCAACTGCATTATTGGTGTGAAAGCTGTTTCATATTCTGCTAACAACACTAAACTACATGTTACCTAAAAAACAGGTGACTACTACTTTGTAGTTCTTATTTTTTAAATTGAGAAGACAACTGTAAAAAAGCTGTATGTAATCTACAAAATAAATCACTGCTACTTTGTAGCTTTGTTTTTTAACAAAAAAAGGGTAAAAAACTAAACTAAATGTAATCACAATCTAAGTCACTGTTACTTTGCAGCTCTGAATTTTTTACAAGAGAGATAAACTTAAAACTAAGTTATATTTAACCTACAAAGTAAGTCACTGATATTATTAAAAGCTACTTTTTCTTAGTTCAGTAACATTATACTTTTTCTTTTGATAAAAAAGCAAGTAAAAGATTAGGTAATATATATATATATATATATATAAATCTTACACTAGGTTTTATACAAAAATAAACAAATTAACAAAAAAAAAAATATTTTTTTCTTTTTCAAAAGGTCTGAAGCCTGGCATTAATATGGTATTAGAGAAGCTTAGTAAAAACAGTGCTTCAGTTTTAAATGTCAATGAAAGATTAATTCAATAAACAAAACTGATTAAATTACAATAGCAAAAAACTGGCAAATCTAGTCACCTTCTTCTTCCATTGTTTCCTCCTGAGTGGTAGAGGTACCATCTCCATTATAAACTTTAACCTCTCCTCCTCCTTTGTCTGTAGGAGGTTGGATGTTTTCATCTGATGGCAGAAAAATTATTCATATTACTCATAGTTTATAGATATGAAAACAAATAAGTCCTAAACACTTTTGTACACCACCATAATTTCCCTTAAAGGGAGCCAAAAGCTGCCTAGAGAGGTCACCTGTTTTAATCACCCACACGACAATACAGTAGTGTGTTGACTGTCGATCAGCCAGTAGACACTAAAGTAATGTCACATGAGGGATGCTTAGCATTTCAATTTGTATTGTTGTGACATCAGTAAAACATGCCATGAATTATAAGAAGAATTATGCACTCTGTAGGCTACAAAACAAAATGCCATATGAACTTCAAAAGCAAGAAAGAAAATATTTATTTATCTTAATTTTGGTTTTATTTACTCTTGTGACAGAACACTTTCAGGGACCATGTAGAAGTACATCTAGTATACATTAATCACAGATACGAGTCAAAGTTAAACTTTCACACAAAACATATTTTTGATGCGACCGTGCTTTATAGTTATTATAAGAAAAACCTAGACATTGGATAGGTAAAGTGAAAAAAAAGTAGAATCCAATAACACATGTTAATCAAAGTGTAGATTGAACTGAACCTCCCTTGAACTTAGGCTTTGAGATTAAACAATTTCCAAAGTACTAAGTTTATTTATCATCATATTTCCCACAAAAATCAGAACTTTGTTGGCATTTTTTGGTGCAAAGCAACTAAGCTATTTGTGTAAATTTTGATACACATGGACAGACAAAGCAGTTGTAAAGTCAGTATGGATATTTTTAACACTTTAGAACTAACAATGTAACACATGGACTTGATGATTATACAGGCTAATAACAATGGCAATGATTATACATGTGTACATCTCTGTTACCATATATTACCAATCAAAGATACGGTATTCTATCAAGTTTTCTTCTTTGGCTTTTCAACATTTGTTTTCTAATATATATTTTTTTTTATTATTCATAAAATACTAGTTTAAAATTAATATACACTTCCAATATCTTATGGAAATTTCAAACTCTTATGATTAACACTAACTCTTTCGGAAATGATGCAAGAGGGCACTCTCGTAATACAAGCTTGTTGTAGGTAGTTGTACGAGTAATACATAGAGAAAAACTCAATTTTTATTATCTAAAACACAAAACATGATTACTTTTCTATACAACATTTTATAACTACATATGAATGTTTTGTTTCATTTATATGGATTACATATAAACTAAAAGGATTTTCAATTACAAACTTGTAGTTATGTTGACTCATCAGTAAGTTCTAAATATTCAGATATCAGAATCTACCCTTTCTTATAGCCCTACAATGGTAGAATTTGTCAAGTTTTCTTGTGAGACTGAGCTTAAACTGATAAATACATCATCCTAGTTCTCTTACAATAGAGATTACACGAAACATCAGGCCTTAGACCAATATTTAAGGGGATGTTGAGTTGATTATGAATGTTCAGAGGTTATCATATGGAAACAATTTTCAACATTTTCACATCTCTTCAGTCCAACTTTGGACTAATTACAAGGTATTGTATTAATCTACTGATAGTCTGAGAACTCTTGAAAGGGTTTTAGAAAGTAAAAAGGTTGGGGGGGTCACAAATGAGGTATTTCAGATTGTGAGAGATAGAACTGGGTAACTTAAAGAATTTTCTATAAATAATAATTACAGCAATTACTGTCCTATAAACTAACAAGTTAATCATAATTACAATTAAATCAATTAACTGAATAGTGCCTCTGATTATTAACATTTTCAATAATTCCAACAATTCATAAAAATTCCATTATATAGTTTGTCATGAAAATAATCAACTAACCAGAATTAGTGTTTTCGATTGTTTCAATAATCAATAAATCTAAATTAGAATTAAATTGACTGTCATAAAAATAACTAAAATTAAGGTTACCAATTATTATTACTTTGGTTATTCCAACTACCCATTTAATCAAAATATTGCTTTGTGTTTGATTTTAAACATAAAGCTACATAATGGGCTATCAGTACTCTGTCCAATCTTAGCTTTATAGGTGTGTTTAAATTTCAAGTTTGTTCAGCTTTTATGGTTTAAGGGTGGGGATGGGTCTTGTGATTTGATTCCTATACATCAGTGACTAATGACAGAATCAGAACTACAAACAGAACTAAGTTACAGTTGTCTGCTAACTGTAACATCAAAAGTCATTAATTAGTGAGACTCTGACCTGGCTAATTTGCATTCATATGTATCCATTAGTAAGTTAGCCTACTAAAAAAATAATTACCGAATGAAAGTTTACTATATTTATCATGCAAATAAAATTACAAGTAGATATTTTCACCATAGGATATAAATAACATTATGCAAGTATTTCTATTTTCACTATGTGAATGTTCAGAACTTTTTGGTAATCATGTATTCTTTAGTGTTTTAGCAATAAAATATTTCAGCAGTTTTGAAGAATTCTCATAATTGTTTGAAAAATATGACATTGGTTAAGTCTTATTTCCAACTTGCAATCTGTAGTATTAAAAGGTTAAGATTCAAGGAACTTGAGTATATATTTAAAATATTAAAATCCACATATGAACAACATTTATGATATTCAATTAAAAACCTTTATTTAAACCAATCAATGTTTTTTAAAAGTCACAATACATGTCCTCTTCAGGAGTGTGAAGATGATATGAAACTGCGTTGAAACAACCGTTGATCAGTTTAAATAAAGATTTTAATTATAAAATGTTGTTCCTTTGTGTGTTTTTAATACTGAAATCTGTAAGTTGCAGCTTTATGGGAAGACAATATGAGACTGAAGAAGATGTATCAATGTGTCTAGACTAATTTCTCTAATATCAAGACTTCTGACGGTTAATTCCATTTACTGTGGTATTTCAGTAACTAATACTGTGTTCTTTTATTAGTAGGAAACCTTCTGGTTTTCTTGTTATTCATTCCATAATGGTTTTCAAACTTTGCACAATAAAGTTTTATTTTGCAAAATAAAGTTATTCTAGTTTTCCTGTTGTTTGACTTTAAATTTAGGATACTTAAATAATTTTTAAAACACTAGGTTTTTACTTTAGCTGAGTAATAATTTGCCTTATAAATAAAACAAGATATGATTATTTGTTTACCTTAATTGGTTACTAAGCATTTGAGTAACTGCATAATTAATCTAACATATATAAAGTTTTGAAACAGCTATTTGTTGGTTAAAACTACTAGATTTATCTTAGTATAATGTTTTATCTTTAAAAATGAGACATTATCATGTAAAATATTCAAAGTACAAAGTAACCTTATCCAATGAAAATCACACAAGTTACACTGTAACAGTGTAAACATCAATTTTATTAACTGTCATATCTTTTTTCTGTTTGGGTTAATTTCATCTGTTACTGCTGATCCTACATAACTTTCTTCATGAGATTTAACTTTTAAAAGCCTCAAGTAATGCATCATTCTGTAAGTTATTCCTAATCATAATTCTAACCATTTGATTTTACAACATAATGAAAAGTTCTACAAAGTACTAGTACTAGTAGTACAGTTGCCCTTGCTATTTTAAGTATTTATAATTTATGCAATAATTCTTATGCCTAACATAACACCCATTCATACAATTTCTGTCTTATTCCACAATCAGTCTGTAAATTATTCAACATCAAGATGCAGAAAAATCTAAAAACCACACACTATATCTTTTACAAGTGACATATCGTTAAGCCTACATCAACTGATTTTATTATAATGTAAATCTTGCAGATACAAGCATCAACTGATCAAGCAAATGCAACTTGTAAATTACACTGATATTGATAATATTTACTCTATCAGTATCACTATCAGTCGTCATTGACTACTGCTCATAAACAGAAATTCGTAACGAGTATTTACTAAGTAGTATCATGTTAGCATTTTCGTTCGAACTAATAAAATTCATGCTTGTGCAGGTTGTTATCAACCGTAGATTCCTAAATCTGGGATCTAAGTTAGGCCTATCTAACTTGCGTTACGATCAACTCGTTGGTAAGTTAGCCTAAAATTAAGTACTTCATCAAGTTAAAACTACTTTATAATACAAATAAAATTTATTATACTTTTTAACGTCAATTTTACCTTCTCTGGTATCCATTTCTTCTGTTTCAGAGTGCTGATTCTCTTTGTCATTCATTGAATTTGAAATATGATTCATTTCAAGATTATTAAAAGTTTGCTTTCCTTTCTTAATTTTCGACTGAGTGACCACTTTTTCCTTCCCATCCACCACTAAATTCTTTCCAGGCACGGTCACTTTCACGTGTTTCCTCACTATTCCCCCAATGTCTGCGGATGTAAACTCCCCAAGAAGGGGAAACCATCCAAGATCGAACTAACTGTAACGTTATAATTTTTAAATCCAAGATGGCAACTGCGCCAATTATTTCCAAATCCGTTTTTTTCACTCTCCAACACGACAGTACGTACTAAAGTACGAAAATAAACAAGATGGCGAAGCCGCTAAAACGATGCATTATGGGTATAACTTGTAAGTGTTCAAATATATATATATATATGTATGTATAAAATTAACAATAAATTTACCACATATTCTCTTTTACAGGATTGATTGCTGTCGCAAGAAATTTTTATATACGTATAGAAATATGAAAATATTTTAACAAAGCAATACATTATATTATTCTTATTCCATATAGATGCAAAATAAAAATCAACATTGACATTTATTTCACCAAATGCATGCTATGGTTCGACTGGCTTATGGGTAACAAATATTATATATCTTTGGTTTAAGAATATACTATCTTATGTGAGTGGATACTGACAGCTAAGTAACTTGTTCTTAACAAAACAATAGCTCGAGTTAGTAAATAGGATAATGACGCATTCAATTCCAAGTTTAAATTCCTAACAAATAATTAATCTAAAGGGATGTTTATAAACATCTTTAATCAAAGTTGATAAAAGAGTTAGCACAAAAGATCACATATAAAGTGTAATAAACTTAAAATAAGACCCAAAACACGATCGATTTCGAATAGAGTCAACTATTCGAAATCGCTCGAGTTCGGCGTCTTATTTTAAGTTTAATCATTTTTTTTATTTTCAATTGTAAACAGACATGAGGAACAAATATTAAAACTTATGTAACAATGGTACAACAACTCGAAGTAATACAATTTATAAGTCACAAACCTAAGGTATAAATCGTACAATATTGATGTAGTATATATATATCATTTATATAACATTAACAACAAGAACTAAAATTAAGTTATATGTGGGAGGAAATAAATAAAGAATTTATATGGAAGTACAAACATACGCCTACGACGTTTCAGTGCAGGATTATTTGTTGAGTTTAATCTCAGATTCTCAAACTCGGAAGTAACGTCGCCGCCACTTTTTATTCCTCAAGAAGAACAGTCAACTATTCAAAAGCGCTCGAGTTTTCGAGTCTTTTGAATGCTAAAATAACGTTAACAGTGAAGAAGTTTCGACACTTTCACGTGGGACCTGTTTGTCCATCTCTGCTGTTCCAATCTCTAAACTAAATTTAAATAAGTTAAAAAATATTAAAGCCAGCCCTTATCATTCATATACTTATCAAGATTTTTCTTAA